ACCTTTCCCCAACCTTAGAGCCACAAGTGTTGTTGGGTTGCAATATCCCTAGTCCACATGGTAGATAATCGGAATTGAAGGGAGTTGTCATTCAATAACATCTGGGGACTCAAACTAGGTTAAAACTATATGAAAAAAAAATATATAGTTGGCCCTCTTTACCCAAAGATTTTTCCATCCATGGATTCAACAGTCCTTTAAAGGCAACCATAATGATGATGTGGCCCTTGATGAAAATGAGTTTGACATCCCTGTTCTAGACCATGCGAATCTAGTGAACATCCTTTCTCAGATCTATCTCAAAGCAATGTTTATAACATCTTTCCTGCTTAAGAGATATATATGGAGATTGCAAAAGCCTGAACATTTTTCTTCTGTGAGCTGAAATTTGGCCTTAAACTTGTATTTACTTTTTAAACATGTTCAGTTCCATACCATCACTATCAAAATCTCTGGAAGCTAATCTGATTAACTAGAATTGGTATTCAAGTGAAAGAGCGTATTGTAGATTGTAATTACTGCCGAACCAGTCTTCTATTTACATTCAGGTTTCAGAACACCTTGATATTTAAGTCAGTAGAAATATTAATTTAATGATGTTTAAATAATTAGATCTCAATTAGTTAAATATTTCATTCCAATCATGTGTAAGGAAGAATTTGTATTTGTGTTCAAATACAGAATCATTTTTCCCCTTGTGGAATAAGAGGAAAGAAACATGCATGCACATTTGCTCGACAATGTGCAGTCACATGGTAAAGTCTGGCATAAGCAGACATGAGGTCATGAATATTTCTGGCATTTTAACATCTACTGTCGCTACAACTGACTCACCTCTTCCTTCCTCATAGCGCTCTCCACTTCTACTTTAAAAAGGTGAGATATCATGCAGAAAATTTCCTTCAGATGTACAAATGCAGCTTTTTCTTAAGTCAAAGGCCTTATTTAAAAAGCAGCACAAGAAAATTGTGAAATCAACTGTTTCAGCACAACTGGGTGAAGTTTGAGAGACTGCAAAATGAACCCTGCAGGTGTGAAAAGCTGTTAAAAGACCTAATTTAATATTCCACAGACTCCTGTTCAAGTGATCCTTGAAGGAATCTTGCATAATTTCTGCTACCATATTTCTCCAAGTACAAGTGCCTATGCTGAGCCAGGAACTAACTGCAGAAAAAAAGTAAAATGAAAATATTCCTATATTTCACATTTATGAAATCTGATGGGTATTTGAAAGGTAATTTTCTATAGGTAGAGGAGACAGGAAATCACATCTATTTCCAAACTATGACCCTTATCTCTAGACAAAATATACAAGGGTTGAATGAAAAGTAATGCCTCCACCTTTGTAACTCCTCAACAGATGGCAGTACTAGTATGTGGCAGGTACTGGCTTGTTCAGTAGACTCTCCTCTACAGTTCCATTTTGGCTGGAAGCCTTAGCATTGAACAGTTGTGTTGTTAAAGTGCGAAGTATGGAACCCTGCACAGACAGTTGGTCAATGCGACTTAAGCAACATGCAGTCATTGAATTCTTGACAGCAGAAGGTGTCACCCCAAAGGAGATTCATCAGAGAATGCAAGCTGTTTATGGTGATTGTGTTGATGTGAGTACTGTGCATTATTGGGTGAACAAGTTTAAAGATGTTGAGGTAGGAACATCTGACTTGCGTGACAAACAAAGAGTTGGATGTCCTGTGACAGCAACCACTGAGTTTCACAAGCAAAAAGTTGACAGCATGATTCAGGATGATCATCGTATCACTCAAGAGAGAAATTTCAAGCATAATTGGCATTTCATAAGAACGTATAGGTCACATTATTGCTTTGCTTGACTATCAGAAGATCTGTGCACAATGGGTACACAGGATGCTGACGCCTGAAATGAAAGCGCACAGACTTGCAACTTCAGAGACTGGATCTCATCACCATGCAACATCTTCCATACAGTCCATCTGACTTCCATCTGTTCCCGATAACGAAAGAAGATCTGTGAGGGCATCTTTATGCTTCTGATGAAGATGTTGAGAGAACTGTGAGATGCTGGTTGTGGAAACAGAGTGTCGACTTCTTCCGTGACGGCTTCAGAAAACTTGTTCATTGTTAGCAGAAATGTATCCAATTGTCTGGTGATTACGTGGAAAGTGAATAGTGGTAGTTAAAAAGCACATTCTAAGGATTATTTCTGCGTTTGATTTATTAAAATATTCCCATCCAAACCCAAGTAACAAAGGTGGAGGCATTACTTTTCATTCAACTGTCGTACACTAGTTTGAAATGGCGTTCCAGATGTTTCAAAATGATGAACCCAATTTCAAAGCAGTATATTTTACAATGGCAACATGTTCTAATTACACCAAAACTTACAGTTTAATGATCTATTAAGTTTTACTATTTTGAGCCAGAAAGAATTCTAAAAAATAACTTCGCAAATGGGAGAATATCTCATTAGGCCTTATGCTGCAGGGTCACCCCTTGCAAATGACTGAGGCTAGTAGATGTTTGTGCATGAGGAGAAGCATATAGCACTAATGCTTTGAAACCATTTCAAGTGGACAGTTCATATTTGCAGAGACAGCTCAATTTCAAATCAGGTCCACCCTTTTGAAACACCCTGTATATTCAGGGAAAGAAGTATCTGTGAAACCTAAAACCTTTATCCAGGGATCTAGAACATATTTTGATTTGTAAAAGCATGAGAACATATCCATGGATATCCATGTTAGCCATACAGTAAAATAAAACAAAATGCAAAACCTACAAAAAAGGAATGCCTTCATCGGTCAACCAAAATGTACAAAACACGCCATGCAAGCTTTTGAAGATCTTTCATCAAGCAAAATATGTTTTTTTTTACCCTATCTTCCCCTTTTCACATATCTACTTCACACATCCTCAGATAGGGAAAGGCTATGAGTATAAAGCAGGAATGGGCAAACTTCAGCCCTCTAAGTGTTTTTGACTTCAAGTCCTAGAAATCCCAGCCAGCTTACTGGCTATTAGGAATTTTGCGAGTTGAAGTCCAAATCAACTGGAGGGTCAAAGTTTGCCCATGCATTTAAGCCAGCTTATGGTTACACTGGAGCAGTCTTTCTGTGAATCAAGGTCTCGGGGTTAGTGCTGTAAACATACTACTCATATAAGAAAAATGACACTCATGGAGAAACCAATTCATTGCCACCTTGTGAATGACTAAGGCCAGAGACAGTTTGTATGCTGGGCAAGGTATCTTATCAGTGATGCCTTGAAAAACTATATGCCACCCTTTCAAGGAGTAAGAGTTTCATCCATGGACAGGTTGGTGGTTGCGATAGAGTGATTTCAAATCAGATCCATCTACTTGAAACACCCTATATTTCAGTTTAAATGTATTATTATTATTATTATTATTATTATTATTATTAAACTGATTTTGGTGTGGCAGCCATATGTATACCAGTGCAGTCACTCCCTGCGATGCCTTCAACGTACACTGCAGCAGCCATACTACAAAATACTTTTATCACACAATGCTTCAAATTTCCCTTTTCACATCAATACGCTTTTTCACATAAATGGCACAGCACAAAGCAACAGATGCCAGATGAAATGTTCAAGTGAGCTCCATATGAAAGGCTCTAAAACTCCCTACTGAGGACGTCTAGACTGGCCTGTAGTCTCTTTGCCATTAAAGAGAGACTTTTTTCCTTTTATAGGCTTATGAAAAGAGGCCCTTAGCTGGATGAATTTCTTCTTTTACCGGTATGGATTTAAGTTGTGTTTTAATTGTTATACTTTTTGTTTCATGTTTTAATTGTATTTTCATTCATTTGTATGTGAAATCGTATTGTCTTGCAAGCCACCTTGAGTCTCATTTTCCTGTAAAGGCTTTCACGGGGAAATATAGTAAATGTAATCCGTTGGTTAATCCACTCTTCCCCTTAACTGACAATACCAAACTACCTTAATTCCAAACTGAACTATAAATATACCACGCCCACATAGCTGGGAACCTATGCTCTGGTATTTATCCAAATACAAATGGGAACACCAATTCAGTAGTATATGATATTTTAGGTATCTGTTACAATTGTTTCCAGCTGATAAGTATCTCCTAAGGGTTTTTTTTTCAACTCAGCTTCAGCAGCCAACTCAGTTTCAGCAATTCCTTGACCAAACAACATACCAAGAGGATCATACAATGAATGCTTTGAATAAGTGAAAAAAGTGGAAATCCTTAAAAGGACATCAGAGTACCAAAAGGTGTACAATCATATACAAAAAATAGGTAACAATTACATCTATTAATTGCCCCAAAATACCATTTTTGAAATGTGCAATTTTTGTGAGTCACACAATAGATGCTTGAATTTAAATTATAGGTCATCAAAATAATGGAATATGAGGGTAACTTAGATGGCTCTAATGAGATATTTTCCTGCTTCATTTTCTACTGAAACTAGACATTCCAAAGATCTGAATGCACACTTGTTTTCCAGAAGACAGTTTTAAAGATGGGGATACTGAAAAAAAACCCAGATGCATTACAGATGTGCATCTAAGGTATTAAGTCTGTCTCTGTAATACCAGATTAGATTGCACATGGGCGCTTAATGGGTGAATGTGCTTTCATGCAAGAAGATCCTTTCACAGAGAAAATAGCAAGTCTGATAGAAATTAGGCTTGGAGGAAGGACTGTTCAGTCATCTTTGCTCACACTTCTACCAGCAGTTCAGTCTAGACACGTTTGCTAACTATAGCAGCTTAAGAAGACCAGTTTCACCACAATGATATTTAAACTGCATTGAATGTCTGCTATAGGAACTTTTCCATCACATTCTGAACCAGATGGAAGAATATTAAGAACAACTATAGGCAGAGTTCTTATCCCCACACCCCACCCTGCCCAGTCCATAAAAAATAAAGTTGGGTTAAGCAGATTAATGGATTCAATGCCAACTCAGGCAACTGCTAGTACTATAGCTGGAAATAGTTCATCTGCATATTTAAAACATAGTGCTTACCTTATTATGTTCATAGTTGTATGGGATTCTGAGTGTATCCATGGCTCTGATCATTGACTGCATTGCTGTGAATATATTCTGATACACAAGCTTAGTGAAACCTCTTTTGTCTTCATCAGAGTATCCTGAACCATGAATGATTCTCATCTGTTTGATAAATGTGCTTTTGCCACTTTCTCCTGTACCTATAAAACAAACAAAGAGATATCATTAGCCTACCATATTTACAGAAAATAAACAACTTGCACAGGGTTTCCTATCTAGTTTAAGAACATTTTTCCAGTTGCAATAGGTTGATATAGTAATTTGCAGTCACTATTGGCATTACCAAACCTCTTTCACATCAATGCTACTTAAAGTTTTATAACAAGGCAAATACATCTATATTCTAGAATGTAGGTAAGTTCTTATACTAAATATTCAAACAATCAGTTATATATTTATAGTTACATTACAGCCATATGTGAAGTAATAACAAAATCCACTAACTTCAGACTATCAAACGGTCTAGAAAATGTTTTTTTTATTTAAATTAGCCAAGTTTCAAATTTACTAATTTAAAATTCTCAAACCACTCAGAAAAAATGGTATTTGTGACAAGTTACTTCATCTTCATAACAAAGAAAAACATGTACAGCAGAACCTATCCCACGTTATATCGGGGAAGAGCTGCAAAGTTCTGATTTTATATGTTGATGAACAAACTAAGGAATCCGATAGGATGAAACACTTGCACACCTGGCATGTAGACTTTCAAACTGCATCCAATAATTTCAAAATAAATAATTCAAACAATCAATTAAAACAGAAAAGCAAAAAGTATAGCATGTAAAATAGAGCTAAATACAACAGAATGTGCATAGATAAATGAAGAAGTCTTAGCCAGGCACTTAAAATTTGCCAGCTTTAACAATGAATGGAATGATTATTCCAAGACTTTGGAGATTGAGAAAAGGAAGGGCCTTTGCAAGTGTCAGGAAGTCCAGCAAAGAGAACCCTCCAGAAGCACATTTTTCATTTCACTAAGTCTTTGAACAGACTTTAGGATGACTCTATCTCCTGAGCACACATTTACCCTTTTTACAAAGCTGGAGGGACGATAGAGGGGTCAGCTGAGGATAACTGCTGTCTATGTTCTGACAGCCAGAGTACACCATAGCAACATCATCCTTCAACACTTCCGGAGAATACATGGGAAATTGGAGAGGATGCCTGCATCATCTTGTACCAACTATGCGAACAGTGCAAGCAACCCTCCCTACTTGACTGTCCTTTCCTCCATGACTGCAGTGGCCAGGCAAAAGGTGGAGGGCAGCCAAGATAAGTCATATTAGGCTACAACCTATCAAGGATTGCTCTGACATAGCTGGCAGGAGTGATTCTTGCTGAAGGGCAAGCAAGGATGGTGTTGTTTTGAATCAGGTATCTGAATAGTTCCCAATATCCCAGAATTAAATTAACTTCGGCTTCAGTCATTCTTTTCTTGTCAAAGAACTCAGACATCTCTACACTTTTTGTCTTCTTTCCAGACTTTCACTACTCTTCACACTTTTTTCTATTTAATTAACAAAAAGTGAAATAAAATGTTCATTTTGCCCTTTAATATCCATTAGGCCTGTGCATTTCAGCTGAACCTTTATCTATTACTGCTGGCTGGATTTTGGGAGACCCCCAGATTTTTTTTCACATACCTCCCAAAAATGGATGAGTAGCCGAATAGACGTTTTCAGTTCACAGCCAAAAACCGGCCAAATCTGGCCCATTGGTAGCAATGGGGGGAGGCTCCCTCGGCTCCCCTTCCCATCATTTTTAGGGCTATGAGGATGAAAATGACCATACTTGAGGACACATCAACCACTGTTAGCCCACCAAGTTTCATAACATTTGGGTCACCCCCTGATTTTTAGATTTTTTTTCTTTTTAGAAATAAAATCTCCTTTTAAAAATTCCCTGGAAGGTATCCCCCACTGCTTGCCCCAGGAATAGCAGCAGGAGCAGCAGCAGGGAACCATCCCTTCCTGTCAAATATGTACTTGCAATCACACAGTGCACTGCCCCACTACACCACCTTATTCTTTACTAATAAAAAAAATCAACAGAAAGCAACTTCTTCCAAAGCTTTTGCATTTCTTGGTCTCACAAAACATGCTGAAAGAGGCCAGCGCCAACAGCAAGCAAGCATTGTCCCCTTATTCGAAAAACACCCCTGTATAATACAGGGGGGGGGGGCATTTTCAAAATGTACTGTGGGAATTTAGCCATGTTTGGGGGAAAAACATGTTTTGGAGTATATTATTTGAAGTCTTAGCGGTTCAGAGAAGGTAATCAGCTTCACTGATTCAGAAAGGCAAGGCGGCAGTGGCATTCCCAAAAAAGGGAAATAGAGGGGAGAAGTATGCCTTCAGGTCAGGGGCAGAGTGGTTGGTTGGCCACCCTAGCCCACAAAGAACTAATCAGTCCCCCAAAGAAGGAAAAGGTAGGAGGGCAAAGGAGACCCCCCAGGATGGTTATGGGCAGAGTTTTTGACTGGCCACCCCACCCTTTCTAAGTCTAGCAGCAGACTAAACAAGGAAAAAGGAGTAGCTGGCCTGCGTGGGGCAGGCGGTGCAGGCTTGACAAGAATACTCCCACCACAAGGAAGGTGAGCATACAAAATAATCTTTGGATAGCAAGGGTGTTGGGGTGGTGGTGGAAATGCTTGGGGCGGCAAGGAGGACAATAAGGCTTTTAGGTACACTTTGAGAACCTCTCTTCTGCTCCATTGATGACACAGCTTGCATTAGACATGTCATGGCCTTCTATTCTAATTGGCCCAAAAGACAGGGCTCACAAAGAAACCCCGTACGAGCACGCGGAAGCCTCTTTGTGCACCGTGTGATGCCAAATAGGAGAGGGGAAGCTGTGAATGGCTGCCGTGTGGCCCGTTTCAACTAAAAAAAAAACATGGCTGCTGAGCCCTACTGTTATGGCCAGCTAAACAAGCAGGATTGGCCAAAGAGAACTGACCAAATCAAGCCTAAAATCCATCCTTACGTATTTACAAATATACACTTGAAATCAGTAAAATGGACAATGTTTATATATTGGCTGGATTACATAGGAGCACCACCTGAGATCAGGTTCAAGCATCTGCATAAATTTTATTTATTTATTTATTTACAGTATTTATATTCTGCCCTTCTCACTCCGCAGGGGACTCAGGGCGGATTACAATGTACACATATACGGCAAACATTCAATGCCAAAAACACACGATATAGACAGACAGTTAGAGGCTATTTAACTTTTCTGGCCACCAGGGGAGCTGTTGCTTTCATCGTCCATCTATAAACCCTTTTCTTCTCTTACTTTTAAGAATTTGGAATTTGCCACAAATTGGCACAATCACTCAATGGGACTGAAGGTTCCACATTTTAATTAAAACCAACTTGCTGACTTTTTATAAAATCTTTGGGTGCACAAACTTCGGGATCCCCTTAGAATGCAAGCCAAGTTTCTAGTGTCAGGGTCTTGGAGTCAAAATGGATGGAAAAACATATAACTCACTATTATTGATTTATGTACTTATTTTATTGAATTCAGATTCCAGTTTTTAGATTTGGTTCATCAATATCATCTCTCACACAATCAATATTTCATGTCTCAAGAAGCTTACTAAGTGTCAACAATCCCTTTCTTGTATTACCTAAGACCTTACCATCTACATTTCAGAAAGTATATATTAACTCTATCACTGCATAACAAGCCTGAAGCAGGCATACAATATAGTGGTTCTGATCTTATAGCTATAACTAACTCTAATATTAAAGTGAAGCAAACATTTACTGTTGCTGAGGGAGAGAGACAGACAGAGAGATTAAACACTGAAAGGGGACGGGGGATGGGGACAGAAAACATTTCTTTCCTATCATCAGCATATACTAGGATTTGACAGCTTTATTAATTATATTGATGGCAAGGCTAAAACTGCTCTCTCTCCTAACAGGGAACGAGAAACTATAATGGAGTTTCTGTACCACTAACACATTCTGATTTTCACATACGCACAAATCCATTAATTCTATTCAAAGAAGAGATGAGTGAAAGATTCAGACTTCACCTAGTTACAGATGAACACAGGATGCAACTAGATCATATCTCAAAGAACAAAAGGGGGGGGGGGTATAGTATGAAAATGGCACAAAGACTTGTATCATTCAATTCTGGTTTCAGAAAATAACAAATTGATCCTCATATATCTCCTCTAATGAAATGTTCTAATTCAGAGCTCCAGCAATCCTGAAATACACCCCCTTCTACTGCTTTTCAGCCATTGAAAGAAATGAAAGAAATTTGAGAAGGTAGTAGGAGGAAGCTCCTCCTGTTACAGTAACGTTGAACAAATGTAACGTTCTCCCTGGATGGACCAGAGCTCCCAGCATACTTTGCCACTGGCAATGCTATAAAGGACTGATGGCAGCTGTGGTCCAACAATATCTGGAGAGTTACATTTTGCTCACTGTTGCGCTAGAGTTATCTGTTTTGAAGCTGTATATCTTCCAAATCAAAGGACTGTAGGGATCTTGAATCATTGCTCTGGAGAGAACAAAATGAAAGAGGCTCTTTTTTCAGTTCCTTTTTCCTGTTATGCTCCAACATAGTAAAGAAATGTTTAAAAGCTTATGGAAACCACATCCGAAGTTGTTCAGTGATAAGAAAAGCTGTTTTTTCTTTCTTCCCTGTGGCTTCATTCCTACTTCTTTAAGTGTTCACCAAATAAGTTGTGGTCAAAGTAGGGCAGAGGGGTTCACCATACTGAAATAAAGAAGATGACTGATTACTCCTGTCTACATATTATGTCCTAATTTCTATGAAACACAAAGTAAGTTTATCAGATTCACGCAGTCTGTCAAAAAGATTCCTATCTCTGGAATGGAAATAAAAAATCTCACTGAAAACAAGAGGGAGATCCAGAATTATAGCATAGCAATTACTGGGCACTAAAAAAAAAAACCCCAGATACTGTCAGCCCTTCTCATCTACTAGAATTAAGGGCTTCTTTAACCTAAGATAACAATTGTCTAGGAATCTTTAGGTCCTACAGCATGCTTCTATGGTCAACATCTGCTGGAAGTTGCCTACAAAATTATATGAGAGGACCTATAGAGAAGAAGAAGAAGAAGAAGAAGAAGAAGAAGAAGAAGAA